GGCAACAAAAACTCTTTGCTAGGCTTCAAAGATCAAAAGGATTCAAGGGTCCTTCCGCCAACCCTGCAACGTTCTGCATCCATGGTGCATGGGCCAGCGTTTTCTTTTGCCTGCCGAGGTTGATCTGGCACTTCAGGAGCAGCTTCAAGACAAAGCCTTTGTTGCGGCAGGCAGTCTGTTGCGGCGACGTGATACGCTACTGTGGGTCTTATTCAAGGTTGGTTATAGCTGGTTTGTTCATACACAAAAAAGGATCAAAACCAGGTAAGGGACCTTAGGGCTTCAGCACGTGCTCTGATGCAAGCCCGAAGTTCTTCAGGGTCAGTTGGCCAATGGCTTTCCGCCCCCAAAAGTTTCGAGGGAAGAGTTTCTGGCATCTCCAATTTTGCATCCGATCGATGGGCTGGCTCCACCACTGGAACCCTGTCTTCGGGTAGCGCTGGAAGAGCTGGGGCCGAACTTGTGCTTTCGGGTACCACTGGGTCAGTGTCCTCATCGTCCGGGTCAGAATCACACGCATCGTCATAGCCATCGTTGGCAATGGGTCCAGACTCAGCCCAGTGACGCTCGAGGATGGCGAAAAAGTTCTCCAGATTTGGGTCCTTAATCACGGTTTTGGAGCGGTGACCCTCAATGAAAATAAGCGAAGTAAGGTTCCCCAGAATTAGAAAGGAAAATTGTTTAAGGATAAAGCAAGTCAAGTCTCCTTTGTGCTGGTTCTGGCAAGAAATCTCCTGATGCCATGGGAAAAGAGCTTCTTCATTCCGCTTGCATCCATGTGACAGGCCACTTGGTTTTCGGTCTTGCCGGTAAGCTCCCTGAAGAATGCCACCTAAATGGGGGGTGTTTGGTTGAAACATGGTGGTGGATGGGCTCCGTCTGAATCACAACATCTTGTGAACATGAGTGTTTCAACCACCCCACCTCCCTCCTCATCACGTTGATGTTGACGCATTTTGCGATGGGTTGCACCGGGCAGTACCACTCCGCAAGCTTTTCCAAGGCGGTGACGTTCAATCCCATGGCTTTCACCGATGGGATTCCTATTGCCACATTCTTGGTCTTCGGGTTTGTGACCCAGCGAGTCAAGTAGGGGAAGTCCTGATCCATCATTCGTGCCCTCAAGGATGACTCATTTTCCCAAAGCTTGGCCAATGTGCCCTTGGCCAGGCGCGGATCACTCCACACGTTCGGAGCTGAAGGCGGGCCCTGTTCGGGTGGTGGTGCCGGGTCCATGGTTGAAACAGAAGAGCTCGGAAGAGCTGATGGTGCACAAGCCGAAATGCTAGTGAGTCAGGTTCTCACTGAAACAAGATTGGCATAACAAGCCCACGACTCTTTTATACAAACGTTTACTTCCGCTTTGATCGCTCGAGCTGACGGGCGCACGTGGCCAGGTGATCATCGCGACGCCCATGGTGATGGCCAAAGACATGGCATCCGTGGCATCCATAAATCGTTTCAATGTTGACATGCATGATTGGAGTATGTTATGGAAACATGCGATGCCAATGACGGTTCACCCAGTGGAACGTGTGCTTGATGCGGGTTGAAAAGTCCAAGTGGGGACTTCTTGGGATCAATGAGATTGCCAAGAATGCAAAAATCAAGGAAACGCTCGAGGACGGAAAAAAACGTTCGCACTGCCCAAAAGCAGTTATGCTCCAAAAGACGAAAAAAATGAAGCACTACGATGTTGTAGGGATTGCTCAGTGGATGTAGGAGCTTTTCTTTCAACTCCCCCTCACATAACTCCACAAGGGGCACACTAGCTCCATAACCCGCCGGCGGCAAACCAGGCAGGACCTGATCCAGCGTCAGACGTTGCCCTTTCTCTACTATCTCACCTTGATATGAGATCCTCACATCGCCAACCTTTCGCCCCCACTCCCCCATCTCTGGGGAACGGGGCACCTTTGACTTTGTCTCCGAGCTATCATCTACAAAAGCCTTCACCATCTCCCATATCCGATCCAAGGCCCTTGCCTGACTCACACTTGTGGTCCCTCTGTGAACCTTTGCTTGCTTTCCTCCTCCTGTCCACAGAAAATTCAGCACCACCACAGCCAGGCAATGCCAAATGAGTAGACCTGCTCGTCGTGCATGTCGAAAGGCCTTCCTGTCTGTGCCTCCGAACTTCCTAAAATCTCCAGACTCAAAAAGGCTCCTGAGCTGTTCCTTCCCATCGGCCCAAAGCGGCAGGGGCAGAACTTCCCGCTGTCTCCCCCTATTGCCGTCGTCAGACCCCGGCTCGATGGACCTCTTGAGATACTCGCCCAGGTTCGTCCCACTTCGCATGCACACCAACGCCAAGAGTCCTCCTGTTTGTGAGATGCTCATACCACCACATTCTTCACCTTTTAGCCAACGCTGCATTATTGCCAAGCTCTCCTCAACTCCAGCTTCAAGATCAACACTCTTCAAGCTTTCCCAGTCTCCATCACTCTCCTCGGGGTTGGACTTTGCTGGAAGGGCCTCGCTCCTTTCCTCACTGGATCCTTCTCCACTGTCCTCCGGCTTCTTCCAGCCTCTTTCCTTCTTCGGCCATACTGCCTTCTGCCAGGCGGACCGCCGCTGCCTCGCGGAGGACGACCCTCCGGGTTTCTCCACCGCTCCTTCGGGCCGTCCTATCTCTCTTGGCTGATCGTCGAAATGGACTCGACGCGCCAGCTCGGGGCTTTTTGACCTCTCCTTCACCTCTCCCTCACCGGCCCCCCGCCGCCTGTTTCCTATTTGTTCCCCCGATTCTTGTTCATCAGCTCCTTCAACTTCAGGCTGGCGGCCTCCTGCTTTGCCGCCCTTCTCCTCTCGCTCTCTGACGTCAAGCTTGCGGCTTGAGGGGGTATCAACTCCTGATGCCGTGCTGACATCCAGTTGCTCTCGACCAGACTGGTCTCTAGAGCCTTCAACCGCTGCATCAGTAGGTCTCCTAGCTCCGCCAGTTCGCCCATGATCAGCATGTCGATGGCGGTCCCGAGGGTGATGAGTTCTCGATGACTTCTCACTCCTATGGCCGGAGGCGGGTGCTGAACCAGTACCACCTGATTGATGTATGCCATCATCTTGTAACTCGACCAACTTTCGTCTCCTCCTCCGCTTTCGGCTCGACTCGCCAGGTATCGACTCAGCTCCTTCATGCCGCTCTTTAGCAGCTGCCCGGGGTTTCTCTTTGAGAGCCGCCACAGTTCGTCCTCCCCCCGGGTGAAGGGCTGTCGAAAACCTCGTGACGACTCTGAGCTTCGGCTCCCGCCTGATCCACTTCTCCTCTCACTCGACGATGCTCTCCTCTTCTTTCTCCCCCGCCGCCTTTTGCGGCTCCGGCTCCTGCCTCGGCTTTCTTTCTTCGCCTTTTCCTCCTCCTTCTTCAACTGTTGCTCACGCCTTTCTGCTGCCCTCTTTTCCAGCAGGGCTCCAACGGACCCTCTCGGCCCTCTTTCTCTCTCACCACGGCTCTCCTCCTTCTTCTCCTCTGGCTCTAAATTCTCAGTCACCGCTTTCTTTGCCTTCTCCAGGGCCTTGTCAATCCCTGTCGGGTCTTCGAAGGTCTCCACTTTACCTTTTGCCGCTGGGCCCCCTGCTGGTTCGGGCACACGGGGTGACCAGGCGTCTATGAAACTCACGATGCCCTCCAGAGCACGCTTCTTTGAGTACTCCATGTCATACATCATCAACGGATTCACCAACCTCCACCTGCTGATGTGTACCAGCTCTCTTCCATCTCCTCGCGCCAACTTGATCTTGCACTTCTTTCTGTCACAACTGCACAAATGGTACAGCCCCTTTCCTCTCATCAGGTAATGCTGGCCATACCACTCATAGTACCCGTCACTTGCCACCAAATGATCTCCTACCAAAAATCCTCTACCAACTTCGCTCCAATCCTCAACTCGGAGGCATGCCTTGCCCTGAGCTCGGCCATTCCAATCATGGCACTCATACTCCATCACCATACCCTTTCCCAGAACTGACTCTGCATAGCTCAGGATATCGTCATGCTCCTTGGCATCAACCCAACTCATCTGATGGGGCAGAAGGCCACTTTGTAACACCTCATTCCAATCCTCAAGGGTTCCGCCCTTTTTGAAAAATCGTAACTTCTGATTCTCCATCTCAACTTTCTCAACTATCTCCTCTCTCCCTTGCCTTCTGTCTCAGGTCCTCCGGGCTCCTGCCCGAGAGGGATAGGACCCTCAGGGTCCCCTCCTGAGAAACCGGTGGCAGAGAGTTGCGGAACCCCAGGATGTGGCCTTCTCACACCCCTCAAACCCTCAGTAGCCTCTGGGTCCCCCCACTCCCACGAGGGAGCCAGGGGTCTCCAGAGGCCCAAACTTGGCCACTCCTCAGCCTCTCACACCACGAGGTGTGCTGAGGCTAAGAAGTGGACCAGCCAAGTTTACTTTAGACCACCTGACCCCTCACCACCTACCCCACAAGGAGGTCGGGTGGGAGAGGTCAGGCAGCCCTGACTTCAAAAGCTCCGGTGGAACCAACATTCAGGCATGCTATCCGATATCCCCTTGGGAGAACACATACAGTACATCTCGAACCCATGTTTTAGAACGCTGTCACCAACAACCCATCGTGTCCTTGTAGGCGTTGTTCATATCTTGCCCTGGATAACATAAGAGATCATGTCTTCGCGGCCCCCACAAGCTGGGCTCCTTCTCTTCCCATGGGATATTCAAGTAACCTCTCCAGCCCGCCAGCCCAGAAATTCATGAGGGGCCTTTTCATGGCTCCCTAGTCTTTGCGAAGCCGCTCTTTCATGATTATCCAACGGTGATTGCCTGGTCCATGTTGCAACATGATGCCATGCCATCCTGCCATCGCGTTCCGAGGAAACCTCGCCCTTGGATCGTCCCTCTTCAGCACCCCTTCCTGGATTGATGTGGGTCACACTGCGAAAAAGCTCCGTTCGTAGAGTCCGAACGCTCCGTTCGTAGCGATGCCCTTTGTTCCGTTCGTAGCAAACAAACCATCGACTTCCCACCGGCACCGGCCTTTGCCGATCTTGGTGCGGCTTCGGACCATCTTGCCCATGCGGATCCTGGGCGTTCTGCGGATGCCCCAGTCTGGACATCCGGACTGAGCAGATGTCTGAGTTGAAATGTCGAGTAAAAGCGGACGCAGTTGTGGTGGTTTGGGTGGTGTTTGTACTGGTCTTCACTCCAGTTCCCGAAGCGAGGATGAGAGACAGATTTCCATCCGCAGGTTTCGTTGGGTCCTGTTTTTCTTGAGACGGGGCAGCACCTGTGTTGGACTCTTTGGGTGGACTGATCCATGTCACCCTTCGAAACCGTCTTTGATCTACACTCCCTGGAATCATCATGGACGTGGAAAACCACCTATATTTGTAGAGGAAGTGGTCATCCAAGGGCCAGTTCCACTTCCATGATGATTCAGACTCTTGATTGGTCAAGCAAACCCCTCAAATTTGGGGGGGTCACTTGTCAATACTGGTGCCTGGCAGCTTGCGGCTTGCGGCCCGACACCAGGAATCAAGGGCCCCAGTGCATGAACAGGCCTTGGAGACCAGATACTGCAAACGTATGCAAAAGTAAATGGCGGTTAAGGGCAAACCACTACCTGCACCCACTGACACTCACTGACTCCTAAATGACACCGGCCCAACAAAAACAAATGTCGGGGTCAGCTGGTCCAAAGGGACCGCTGAAGCAATCTCAAGAGAAAACGGTGGACTAGGTCAAGAGTCTCAATTAAGCGAGGCAGGATGCCTGGCATGTCTAAAAAACGTGCCAGTGCAGAGAGACGCTTGAATTGAATGTGACGGTCCACATCAGAGCCAGCTCAGGAATGTCCAAAGCACCTTCAGGCGAAGTCCGACAGCTCGCAATGTTGGCAAAGAGCAGATGGGGCCTGGAAAGTCAAATGCACATGTGCGTGGCCTCCGGTTCCTGCCCACTTCGGCCCGCGGCAGTGCGGGGGCCATGACCGAAGGAGGCCAAAGGCGTGCCTTTGCAGCCCAAGTCTTGCTCCCATGGCACAGTCTCCCGCCTCTCGTGCGCCTCAACGAGGAAACCTCGGCTCGCGCACTCGATACGTGCCTTGAGACACGTATCCAACTTCGCCTGCAGCTGCGGTAGCTTCTCCTGTAAGTTGTTTGTCTTCATCACCTCCCTCTTGCCCTTGGGCATCAATTGCGTATCCATAGCCGCCCCTTCGCCGACGTATACATATTGGTTCTGCCCAATGGCTGCTTCGATTGCTTCCAGTCAGTGTAAAGGCTGGGAAGTCCTCATGTAGAGTCTGTCGACACATCTGCATTTCCCAGGACACAAGGCCGTTGGAGAAATATAGATGCATGGTGTCAAAAAGAACACAAAGCTGGGGAGCAGTGAGCTGCGGCACTGCTCCAGCACTCCCGAGTGTATCTGGATGAGGCCGGCCGTCGGCCTGGCCCCGCAAGTTCGCCGTCCACGGCCTGGAAGAGCTCCCTGGTCCGCCGGCGGCTTCAAAATCTTCACGAATGTATCCGAGCCCCGCGTCTGCCAAGCACCGGGGGTGACAACATTGCTGCATGTCCGACAGCAGCGGAGACGCTGCGGCACCCTGAAAGCCGAACACGGCCCGGGTGGCGTTGCCATGCCGTGCACCGGGCTCTTTGTGGATGAAACAGTCTCCAGGTGACGGAAGGTGCAGTGGGAATCCTGCAGGTTCCTTTTTGGAATTGGTTTGACTCTTGTACTCTCCTGCTTCTTCAACGCTTCACAACTCCCTGCGGACAGCAGCCGGAAGTAGAAACTTCATTTTCAGAAATCAATAACAAGATTCTCCGGCTCAGGTCATGGACTGTCCCAAAGGGAGGGTCAGCCTCTTGAGCTCACCTCACTCAAGAGTATGTGGCTAATTACTTCGTTTCATGGTCCAAAAGGACAGGCCACCCACAGGTGGCATCTGCTGTTCATTTGGCTTATTCGTTGTCCTTTGTTCAACCCCTTCGGATGTTGTTCCTCCCATCCTATTCTTGGAGACCATCCCTCCAAGAGAACCAAATTGTTCAATCTGTGTGCCTCCGGGTCGTCTGATAACTCTTATATTCCCTTTCCACGCTCGCTTTTTCAATCAAACAGAACCTATACACACTGGGGACCCCGACCTCCTCAAAATGCATGAGCTATGCTCTGCTATGCTATGCTATGCGCGCACGCGCGCGCGCGCTCTCTCTCTCTCTCTCTCTTCCCCTCTCGTTCTCTCGCTCTCTCGCGCTCCATCCCAACAGGAAGATGGAAAATAGATAACCCCAAGAAAACAAACAAACATGTAATAAAGGAAAAGGCTACATTGTGGCTGCATTGGATTTTCTTCTATAGATGCCAAGCTCTGGGAAAGTGTTTTAAAGACCTTAAGGCCACATGTCACTTCAGTGTTCCACCTAGGCTATTCCAACAAAGGGGTGAGTATAGACACCCAATAAGACAAGTAAAGGGTATAGAAGAGTAGACATCAGTGGACATTATCCTAAATTATTCTGGCATGTGTCATGCTTTCTGGGTGTAGTTTGTGCTTCTTGGAGCTGTTTGGTCTGGTGGGGTCTGACAGTTCAAGGATTCTGCGCCGCAGCGATGCCGGACGGCCTAGAACAGGCCAAGATCAGGAGCGGAGCCAAGCTCCAGCCTTGCTTTATGTCCAGTTGTGTCCTATTTAGGTCCGACCTTAAAAGCTCCCCAAATCACAGTGAGGTGCTAGCCTATAGAGTCAGCCGTAGCATGGTAGCCAAGTGGTCTTTCACATGCAAACAAGAAACACCCAGGACCCAAGCTCCTACCATTTGGAATTCTGAGCACCAGGATACATATCACCAGGATATAAGATCTTACCTCTGCAACGCATCTTGTGCGTTCTGGTGATATTCTTACTCTTCTCTTCCTTTTCCTTTTGCAACGCATCTTGTGCGTTCCGCCCGCTTCGGCTCCCCGGCGCCGCGTTCAGCATCTTCGCCACGATCTTGCCGCCCGACCTCTACGTTGGCGGAGGTCAACCTACCCTGGTTTGGGGATATGAAACTCAATCAGGCCAGGGGTGGTTGATGTCCAGGGTCAGCAAGCTGACTCAAAATGGAATGTTCTGCAAGGAAAGATGGGCGAATCATGGCGTTCATGGGATTTCTCATTTGGAGGCCCATTTGCAGCTTCACCCTGGATGCCGCTTAAATTCTGCGAGCTGTGAAGACATGAAACATCGCTGCACGACACCAACAAAGGGAGGGGTGAAGCGAGGGGGACCTGCATATTCATGTTCTGCCCTAGCTTGTAGCAATCACTTTGGGGCGAACAAGGAGGTAAAGACATACGTCTGGGCCATGATTGTCTTTCATCACTTGTTTGAACTCAGCACATGTCCAAACAAAGCATGGAAGACTTTCAAGCTGGGTGATGTTAGTCTTTCGAGCAGTGTTTTTGTATCGTTCATCGGCCTGCAGTTTGCTGGCATCTCCAACACTCAGAGCTCAATCATGTTGCTGGCATTTGCAGGATGATGTGGGCACGGTACAGCTTAGTCTGGTGGCTGCAGGACAAGCTGTCCTAATTGCTCTCAAAGAAATTCATTGACTATCGATCTTTATGTCGTGGCCCCCAACTTTTGAAAAGGAACCGGACGTATCCGGCAGTCATTGAATAAATCCAACTGCAAAAAGGAAAAACAAGTTAAACATGTCAAAACCAGCCGCGTCCTCGCAAAGCATCGCATGGTTCCCTGTCCTACGACTGTCTGAGGCCCTGAGGGTCCCCACCCAGCCACCGTCTCCTCATCGGCCTTCTGGATCGCGTGCCTCGGAAAGAAAACACGTCCAGATGCCGCCCTGTACACAATGAAGATCGAGACCCGAACGACGACATGCGTGTCGGTTTTGGGTGTGTTTTATTCCCTGGGCCCAGTAGATGATGGTTAGTTAAGGGCCGACATCTCGATACTTGTTTAACACAATGTGTTGCAATTAAACAAGGAGACCTGCGTGTGGGCAACGACCCCGTGGAAGAAGGAACATAGACCAGTCATGACCAATCCACTCACTGGGTACAGGGGATCATCTTCGCAAAATATATTGTAATATATATCCCTGCCCCCGTCAGCCATTGGGCGATCCGCGCCCCAAACCCGGCTCAAGGCTCCAGGCTGGGTGAGTGGGCGAAGTGCGCGAAGTGCCGGGGGGGGGGGGTTGCATTTTAAGAGGGTCACCTCATGGCACCTCCCTAGTAACTATAGGCCATTGGCTGGCTGCCTCGTTCAGGTGCACGGACGGATGGTTGGAGCCTCTCCCGGGAAGCAACACTGGTTACACAAAAGGGGGTGATTGTTGCTACAGAGTTCAAAGTAATCAGATTATGCAAGAAGAGACACGAGAATATGTCCGTGGAGTGACAGTGAGCTGTCCCTGTGCCTTATTGGACAGTTTGGGCCTGCTGTGCCGTATTCTGTCATCACCCTCAATAGACAAACATGTGATGAACATAGCCATCTCAAAATATCTCAAATACATTCCCCAACAATCCAAAGGGATATTTACTTGACCTCTATGTGACCCTTCAAACTGAACAAACTACTCCCCGGACGTCGGCAACCAATCTTCAACGGATTCGTGGCCGCGAAACGCGGCCGCTCGCGGTGGAAAGAAAGTGATGAGGAAACTTCAAAAGCGATCCTTCTACCTTTCCGATGTTCGATGTTTGGAAGAACATGGAGACTGGCCATCAGCCAGCAAGCCTTGCTGGGCACCCCTGCTCGTGGCATGCCTTCACCTGAACAGGCCCGTGACGACCGTGGGCCGACGAGGGTTGGACATCACGAAGCGACGAAGCGGCCTGACCGACACGGAGCATGATAGGACACATATAAACACTAACTTCTGGGTGGATCGCAGCAAAAGTCAATCCGTTTTCAATGACCCAAATACGCATTGTTCCCATGGTCTCTAGTGTTGCGGGTCTTTTGGTATATGCAATAGGTAAAGGTCTCAATGTGTCCCAACCACAGGTTGGAACACCAAATTGTTCTTAAACCAATGCATCCCTGCACAATCTGCACACTAACAAGACTTTTGGGTTTGGACATCTGCACAGGATGGGCACAAAAAGACTGTGTTAAGGACTCATGATGAATAAACTCTCCATAATGGAATGGTTTTACCATGTTCTACATCTCCATATTGGAACTAGTGTTTGATTGATGATCAACCAGTTCACCTTTGCGACTGGTGTGTTTTCCTTGCTATTTACATATAGATCTATAACTTCCTTGATAGATCGTGACTGAAGATGACTGAAGCATGTTCATCGACCCTCTGTTTCCCGCTCCATCCAACTGAACAGCCCTTTGGACCTGACCCCACGGACACGGGCACCGCACGGGCCGCGCGGAGCTTCCATACAGGTGCCCCCCCCCCCTTAAGTCAGCCGCTTTGTTTGGAAAAGGAGAGGTGAACCCCGAACGAACTCCATCTGTTCATATGGTGTGGGGGTACGATTTTTTCGATTTCAATTTTCCGATTTCGATTCGCGCCAGGGTCTCGGTACGAGTGCGGCGCCTCGCACACGAATTCTGAATTAACGGTGGCTGCGCTTATTGAAGTCGGGGCCAAAGGTAGTTTCACCCGTCGGCAGGGTCTGAACGAGTTCCTGTAACCACTGCCGGGCCTCATCGACATCAACATACGGCAGAGCGACTCTTGTACTCCACCATTCTTTGTACAAGAGCGCCAAAAAGCGACAAAACCCGGATGGGTACACCTTCAGGTGACTTGTCTTCCATGTGGCGGGTAGCATTCCTACCTATGTTCGAAACTAGCGGTGCCTCAGTGGAACGAACTTGCTTTTCCAGGTCTCCTGCTCGTTCTGGAGCCACTCCACACAGCATCAACGTCGTTGGCTTCCGACTAGAAGCGCCGTGATATCCTTGCTCGACATTCAGTAGGTGGAAAAGTCCTGTATTCAACAGCCATCGAGTCACTTGCAAGCTCCAGATGGAAGGTGCTTCCTTCCGGTGCTGCATAAACTCGCTGGGATTCCTTGGGTGTTCCATTGCGCCGAAGCCCTTCATGCTTGCCTGCGCCAGCATGGCCTCAAAGGCGAAACCAAGGAGGAGCGATCCAATGGTGACTTGAAAATGTTCATTCCCTCGGAGGTCCCATAACCCCCATGGAGCTTCCTTGGAGCGAAGAGGTCGAGGGGCTGGTCCCTCGACGGTTTCCTCCCGTGCCACTGACCACGTCTCACAAGGTGGCCCGATCAGGATGCCAGCTATATGACCTGTTCGGATCCAAGCCAAAGGCTTGGCTTGCTGGCTTTTGGAAGCTAAGTCACATTTCTCTGGCGAGATAATAATGTCAATGGACGCAACCTCTATGGTGATGTCTAAATCAGCATGGACACGTTCCAACCACAACTGTAGGTCGTCTATGTCCACTGAAGAAATGCAGGAACAAAGCCGTACGTGGGCAAAACCGCGGTGGGGAGATATGGCTGTGCAAACGGAAACTTCTAAACGATCACATTCGTCTGGGATTGAATCTTGCTTACTACTCCGAATGGTGAACTGATTGCTCTGTTGCAGAAGCCAGGAACCAACCTTCTCAAGAGCAGCTAATAGGGACATATCCCTGGATTGCAGCAATCTGTTTGCCCAACTTGTGAATCCTTTGTGGATTGACGCAAAAGGCATAACAGTTGTACAGGCTGCTTGCAGCTTCTCAGCCAGAGCAGTGCTAAAATTCACTTGTCCAATTTCTCCAAAGTCATGTTGCAGAGTATACTCTAACTCACGAGTGAGTAGGTCAATATCTCTGTCGAAGACAGCTGAGGCTTGGACAGGATCTTGTGCAGCGCTCCTCCAAGGCATCTGAGGGTGCTGCTCCGCACTAGCTTCATGCTGCAGTTCATTACGATGCTCCCACATGAAGGTTCGGCGTGGCCCGCTGTAAGTCAAATGGTGCTTGAGACTCAAAGCGGACTTGTAGTGCTTGCTACAACAGGGACAAATTTGTCCACGGGCGGCTTCACCCTGCATGGAGACATACCCATGTTTTTGCGAAGCATGACAAAACCAAGCTCTCATGCTGTTGAAGCCTGTCTGGCAGGGAAGACAAACATGGACGGTGTTGCCAGGAACACTTTCTGGCAGAACGCATTTGAGCTCCTGCAAGGACTGTAGAATTCTCCTGTGACAGATTTCGACTTCTGCCAGTCTTTGAAACCCTCTAGTATAGCGAGAGGCAATGCGCTTGACAGTTGACTTTCATTTGACAGGAGACGCAATGATGAAGTCTGCTCACGCAGACCAATCTTGCGGTCTAGGCAGCCCCTGGTCACGTCCAAGGCCATCCCAAAACCACTGCATGGATGTACGATATCCTTGCATGGCTAAAACGTCTCTGGTAACAAAGGCATGAAGCAATGGCGGTGCCGAAAGAATCATAGAGCCAATATGGCATACTCTTGCAACATGCAACACATCTTCGGGTCTGGTGAATTTTCCCTCACTCAACAGCTCGCATCGAGAAACATGCAAATGTTTATTGCGAACCAAATGTGGGACCATCTTGAGGTACAAGTCCCACAGAGCGGTTGCCCATAGGTGCCATTCCTGGACACTTAAAAGCGGCCAGGCTCTGGCACCCCATGCATGAACCGAAACTACTGTTGCTTCGAAGATGGTCTTCCTAGATTCGAAAGGAAGTCGTTTATTGCGGAGGACTTTATGTCCGATCCTCCAAAATGTGGATCTGCTCTTAGTACAGCTGGCTCGGATTTCAAGATGCATATATTGGCAGCAGCAGACACAAGGCCCCCTAGATGCTTGTAGCGGTCTATAAATGGAAGCTTCACAACCTCCTCTTCAAGGACCACATAGCAACCTGCATCTTTTTCGCGAAAAAGGCTTCTGCGAATTTTAACAGCTTCCTTGCCCCTTGCAAGCACGATGGCAGCTTTCATGCCATATTCGGCAAGTGTATCGAAGAGGGCGCCGCTGCAAATGGCAGTTTGGTAGCAATCTCTTGAGGTGTGTTGAAACTCAACAAAGCAGCCAGGTCATCGGCCCAGGTAACCTGAAAAGGTTCATCAGATTGGGCACCTGAAATGGGCCAGTCTTCAACATCCTCATCTCCATCAGACAGAACAGCAACGAGGCCAAGCCTCTTGAGCTTCTTGAGCAACCTCTGAAGTACTGCTTGGAATAGAATGTTGAACGTGCAGTCGGCCCAGGAATCACCTGGTCTGCTGCCTTTGGCCGTTCGGATACTTCTTTTGCCATCGAAGGAAAACCAAGTGTCAGACAAACTTTCCCTAAGCAAGGAACGTTGGAGATTATTGGCTCCCAGCTGGTGAAACTCTGAATGGCCTTGTAAGGCTTGCATCAGGTTCTGTTGAACCTCAGGTCCTAAGGACAAATGGCTCGTGATGCGCCGGAGGTGACTTTCCCAGCTGACATCCTCGACACCAACTGCGAGCTCCCTCAGTACAGTGTAAAAGGCTGACGTGACATCGCAAAAAAGCACAACACAAGATTGTTGTCTCTGCTTGTGCCAAGCTATGAAATGTCGTACAATCTGAGCTCCGAAAAGCGCGCTTTGACGAGGTTTCCCTCCAAGCTGCCCTTGGGGGCTAGCTTTGACATACGGTTCATTGATGAGCGGTCTCATCGCTGCTCTGAGTGCTTTGCCTATGGTCGACATGAGCAGTATAGATCGGAAGTTTGAGCAGATGTCGTGGGCTCCCTTGCCCTTATAAAGGGCAATTGTTCGTCCACCTTTCCACTGTATGGGCTCTTCGCTCCGAATTGCTAGTTTCAAGAGCAGCGGGTAGCAGAGGTTGGCCATCTCTGCAGGCGCTGCTTTCAGCAGCTCTGCCGGGATCCGGTCCGGCCCTGGGGCATGTTCTGCAAAGTTGGCAGATCTCAGAAAGATTCTAATTCAGGCCAGTTCTGAGAACCTTGTCGTACTATACAATCCTGAATCAAGGACGCAGTATCATGAACCTTGCCTGCGCTTCGATGAGAGCAAAATGCTCAGTCCAGCGATCATCAAATTTGTGTAGGGATTGCGTCAGTGTATGGTCAAGCTTCCGGACTTGAGGCAGCGGCTTGGAGGCTCCGTTAGTCTTACGACTAGGCATCAAGGGCCTCAGAGCTCGGTATATCTCACTCACAGACAAGTGCGCAGCATCAGTCGCCACTTGACCTAGATACTCACGTTTGTCCTGCTTGAGCTGAGCAGCAAATTGTCGTGCAGCTTCTTTAAGTTCTCTCCCTAATCGCGCCTTTTCCAGAGTAACTCGCACTGTCCACACATGATTTGGTGATCAGTCCAATTGGCTTTGGTCCAAGCATCAAAGAAAAAACGAAGGAGGCAGTGCTTATGGATGTTCTTGTATCCTCGGAGTTCTCGTCTGGCATTTGTGAGTCTTTCGAGACAGTCTCGAGTAGAGTCACTGGGGCACAACCAGGTTTTAATGCGTTTCGGTAGGGGAAAAGCTTCTGAGAGTCTGTTTTGGATGGCTTAGGTCAAAACTGCAGCGCGCTCAGTGGCATTAATCTCCCAAGGCGCCGTGGGTAAATCACGAACAATTTGGCGGACCTTGTCTCTACCTTCTGCTGTCATCATTCTATCCACGTCGATTCGGGGATGGCGAGAGGGCGCTCGGACGCCTTCAGCGATCCAACAGACGTTGGCAATCGTGCAACAATGATCAGCTCCTGCATGGCCCGAATCAACTCCTGGGTCAGTCCAAGCTTCCACTTGTCCGTT